CAAGGAATGCTCAATCATACTACAAGGACACATGCTCAACTATGTTCATAGCATCATTATTTGTAATAGCCAGAACCTGGAAACAACCTAGATGCCCTTCAACTGAAGAATGGATAAATAAAATGTGGTACATATACACAATGGAGTACTACTCAGCAGAGAAAAACAATGACAACATGAGGTTTGCAGGCAAATTGATGGAACTAGAAAAAATCATCCCGAGTGAGGTAACCCAGACTCAGAAGGACAAACATGGTATGTACTCACTCATAGGAAGATACTAGATGTAAAACAAAGGATGACTAGACTGCTACTCACAACTCCAGGGACTAGTAAAGAGAACACTAAGAAAGACACAGGGATCGCCCAGCAACAGAGAAATGGATGAGATCTACATGAGCAAACTGGGGGTGGGGGAGTAATGGAGGGCAAGGGTCAGGGGAAAGTGAGCTTAGGGGAGCGGGAGGTCCCAGCTGGATAGGAGCAGAGTGGAGAATGGGGAGGGAGATACCATGATGAATGAAGACCCCAGGGGAATAGGAAGAAGCAGAGTGCTAGAGAGATCCCCAGGAATCCACAAAGATACCTCCACTATAGACTACTGGCAATGGTCGAGAGAGTGCCTGAGCTGACTTACTCTGGTGATTGGATGGCTGAACACCCTGATTGTCATGATAGAACCCTCATCCAGTATCTGATGGAAGTGGATGCAGAGATCCACGGCCAAGCCCCAGGTAGAGCTCCAGGAGTCCAATCAGCAAGAGAGAGGAGGGATTATATGATGTAGAGATATTGAGAACATGATTGGAAAAAGCACAGGGACAAATAGCCAAACTAGTGGAAACACATGAACTGTGAACCAATGGCTGAGGAGCCCCCATGGAACTGGACCAGGCCCTCTGGATAAGTGAGACAGTTGATTAGTTTGAACTGTTTGGGAGGCCCCCAGGCAGTGGAGCCAGGACCTGTCCTTGGTGCATGAGCTGGCTTTTTGGAGCGTGGGGCCTATGCTGGGACACTTTTGCTCAGCCTTGGTGTAGGGAGCAGAAGACTGGACCTGCCTCGGCTAAGTCTACCAGGCTGGGCTGACTCCCCAGGGGAGACCTTGCCTTGGAGGAGGTGGGAATGGGAGGTGGGTTGGGGCGGGAGAGCTGGGGCGTGGGAGGAGGGAGGACAGGAATCCGTGACTGATATGTGAAATTAAGTTAATTATAAAATAAAAATATTAAATAAATAAATAAATAAATAACAAAACCAAACAAACAACACCAAAAACAACAATAAACCCTGAAAATAAGAATAAATTGCTTGTCTGCTTACTTGGGGAACCACTTGGCATGCTCCTTCCAAGGATCGTCTCCTTCTTCCCAGTTTCCCAAGCATCCACCACAGGAGAAACACTGCACGGTGTCCCTTTTACCTGCAGATGCAGTGGCATGTTTTGACTGGCCAGCAATGGCACCAGATGAGATCTTGGAAGTGAACATCTTGTTCCAGAACAAGACAGACTCCAGCATGCCTGTTCTTCCACGGCCTCTCTGGCTGAATCCTTGCTCACAGTCCCACTGCCCTAAATGACTCCCTTCCGAGCCCTGGACCCCCATCCCCCAGCCATCCCTTCCTCCATATACACAGTCCTCACACCTTGGCTTCTCCTAGACCAAAGTGATAGCAAAGCGGGCAAATACTAGGACTCACTGGAATGATGCCCCTAGAAGTCCTAAGAGTTAGCTTTGCCATGCTTTTCTATGGAAATGAAGGCATGTTTCTCTAATTCTTTGAACCTCGGTGAAGTTAACCATGAGATGTGGGGGAAGGGCAAACTGGCTGAATTAGAATTCGTGTTCAATCCATGCATAGCCTAAGTGGGTACTCTGCACACTGCAGACGCTGCTATAATTATCATTCACGTCTGTCCTAACACCTGTGTGTGGCTAAGGCATTTCAAGGTGCAGCATGCTCAAAGGCAGTTTGCCTCATGGACGGGAATTAAACAAGTGAAAGAATCCTTCCAAAACTATAGAAATTAAACGAATCAAGGAAATACATGATTAGTGATGTTCATGAAACTAGAGGAAAGTGGGATGGAGCTATCTCCTGATCCATTTTCATGACCTTATGAACTGAACTAATGTTTTCCAGAGTCTCTTTATTTTTGTTTTCCAGTGCTGGAACTAAGGCAATGGCCAAGTTAACCCTCTAGTAATGAGCTATACCCTCAACCTCCAGTTAACAGTTTCTAAGGTTAAAATTTACAGAAAAGAACCTTTCATTTTACACATACTTGTCAAGCTAATCATGCTTCATTAAAAGTAAATTAAAGTGGAAATAAAATTATTAAAGTTGATGGTCAATGAACTAGGTCTCCTCTAACATGTTTAGCAAATAAGGAATGATTAACCAGAGGTAGCAGAAGAAGAGGAGGAGGAGGACAAAAAGGAGGAAGAAGAGGAGGAAGAGAAAGAAGAGGAAGAAGAAAATAAGAAGAGAAAGAAGGAGGAGGAGGAGGAAAAGAGGAGGAGGAGGAAAAGGAGAGGAGGAGGAGGAAGAGGAAGAGGAGGAGGACAAGGAGAAGGAGGAGGAGGAGGAACAGAGGACTGGATAGACGGCTCAGTGGCTAAGAGGGCTCTCTCTTGCAAGGACTGGTTTGGTTTGGTTTGGTTCCCGGCACCCACTCTAGACAGTTCACAACCACGTGAAACCAGTGCTCCAGAGGCTATCGTGTTCTTTTCTGGACTCTCTGGACACCTGCACTCACAGGGCAAATATCACACACACACACACACACACACACACACACACACACACACACACACACACGTTTTTAAAAAATGGAAACTAAACTTAATGTTTTACAGAAACACCTCAGAAGATAGAATCCAGTTACCTGTAAAGACAAAGCCAGCTGCTGAGAGCACACGGGGCGATGTCCCATGGGCATAAAACGGCCAGTTCTCAAAGGACTCCAGTCTGGCCTCCTCTTCTTGGTACCTTGCTTTGCCACCTCTCAGCTTCTCGGGACTCTTCACCCTGATGTCATACTTGCCGATGTTACCGACGTCTTTGCCCAAAAGGAACTCGCATCCTGGACGGAATTTCTTGTGGCTTTCTATGGGAAGATTGCTGAGTCTGGTGCAAAAGAGGATTAAGCTGCAGCAGAAGCACTGAACCCCAAGTTTCACCCCAGTGTGGTAAAACCCAGCGGCTGCCATGTCCTGTGGCGTCCATGATCTGAACGTGTCATAGGTCAGGAAAGTCTTTAATCGCTTGGCCTCAGTGCGCATGTGCGAGTTAAAACCTTTCTTCATTTTCATTCGCTCCTGATGGTCTTCTTCATCTCGTCTCTTTCTGACCTGAAATGCATCCACACCGAGAAGAGCAGAGAACTCAGAGGCCGACTCATCATCAAATTCGGAAATCCTCTCCTCAAAGGCTTCTCCCTCGGCTGCCATTTTCTAGTAGAGACAGGAGAGCAGATGATTGGTGTCTGTATTGTTTTTGTTATAAAGGGTTGTGTCTCAGGGCCAGAGAGACAAGTCGGTGGGTAAAGGGACGTGCCATAAACGCAATGACTTCAGTTTGTTCGCCAGGACTCACATGGTAGGTAGGAGACAAGCAACTCTTGTAAGTTGACCTTTGACTGCAACTTGTGAAAGACAGAAAGAAGTTGCTTGAGAAACTATGAAACATCAATATTCATCCCCTTAATCGACAAATATTTGCTAAGCACCTACCTGAGTGCCAAGCCAGGCTAGGCCTTGAGCACTGACAATGAACCAGAGAGGGACCTGACTCCATTCACGAAGACTTGCAAATGTCCTTTAGCTGGATTGCTTGCTTGCTTCTCTGAGATAGAACCTTGCATGTAGCCGGTTCTAGCCTAGAGTTTAAGGTTGAAACAGCCAACCACAGTAGAGAACTTTGTCTGGACCCTATTTGGTTTTGTAATGATGTCCTTGGTATCCTATGTCCTTCACCTGTGTACACCTTTCATACACACACCTCCTTCACAACCCAGCCTGCACTGGGCTACATGTAGCCTCATCTCTGAACAATCCCACAGGTTTCTCTGCCCCTAGCAACAGTCAAATTTAGATCATCCTGTCTCATCAAATATTCCCAATGGATTGGGACAGGATGATCGAAAAGGCTGATGTGTGGTGATATTGTGTCCCCCAATATATTGTGCATCCTAATAAACTTATCTGGGGTCAGAGGACAGAACAGCCACTAGATAGACATAGAGGTCAGAAAATGGTGGCACACACGCCTTTAATCCTATCACTTGGGAGGCAGAGATCCATCCAGATCTCTGTGAGTTCAAAGCCACACTGGAAACAGCCAGGCATGGTGACTCAAGCCTTTAATCCTAGGAAGTTATGGCAGAAAGCAGAAAGGTATATAAGGCGTGAGGACCAGGAACTAGAGCTGGTTAAACTTTTAGGCCTTTGAGCAGCAGTTCAGCTGAGATTCATTTGGATGAGGACTCAGAGGCTTCTAGTCTGAGGAAACAGGATCAGCTGAGGAACTGGCAAGGTGAGGTGGCTGTGGCTTATTCTGCTTCTCTGATCTTCCAGTGTTGACCCCAGTACCTGGCTCCAGGTTTGGTTCTATTAATAAGACCTTTTAAGATTCGTGCTACAGCTGATGTGGCCTGAACTGGTTTGGGGTGCACATGCAGGAAAGCAAAACTGTGTCTTTAAGTAAATGTTTGAGGAGATTCCTCTATTTCCCATTTGGGGCATGTATATGATGAAAATCACAGGCATTGTGGAGAGTGACAGGCACGGTGACCAAGGACTTGCATAATTCAAGTCTGTCTGTCGATATACTTGCATAATTCAAGCCCTTGCCTGGTAATCAACCTTTCCTTCTCCCGAGCACCATAAAAGAAATCTCCAAATAAGAATTCGGCCCCTTGAATACTCTCCCTCATGTGGTCCACTGTCAGTCTTGAAGGTAAGTCTGTACCACTGTTTAGTTCATCTTGTTCTTGTGCAAATCCATGTGAGCCTCTATTTCCAATTCTTTGTACAGGAGGCCAAGAACTTGGAACGATCCAACCCAGGACCTCAGCCGCTAGCATGCTAGGATGTTTACAGGGAGATGTCAGCATGTCCAACTCCAAGTGTGAATTATGGAGACAAGGTAGAACATGGGCATATGTTTACCATGTGCATAAAAGAAAAATATATACAAAATTGTTTAGCCTGATGGTGAATATTGGATACAATCATTCAGTTAAATATTTATCCTTAAAGATTTTATTTTTACGTATGTATATGGGTGTGTATGTTCCAGAAAAGGTGTTGGATCCCCAGGAGCTTCAGTTACATGTTGTTGTGAGTGGCCTGGCCTGGGGGCCATGAGTCAAAGTTGGTTCCTTTGTGAGGGCAGTACCCACTCAACTGCAAAGCCCTCTCTCCAAACCCTTGAAACCATTACTTTTATTGTGTTCACTTTCCAGGGTTCGTACTCTGCATGTGAACTCCAGCTGCCCCCGTTACAAGCACGGCTTTGAGTCTGGAGGGCAGCCACTAGGGTTCATAGGTTCTTGTACCTCTTTCCAAGGGCTTGTCTAGAGTTCATGGGGAGTTACAGAGTGGATCCTATAAAGGAGAGACACTGATGACCTCAGAAAAGTGCCAGACCTGGACTATGGTCTGGCTCCACACGAGGGGAAAGGGCTCTGCTTGACATTTCACATGATATTTGCACAGCACCTGCCGCCCACGATGCTCTTACAATGCTAGCTCTCTTGAGCATGCTCCCTTGGTTGAGTGAAGCCCAGGCAGGGAAGAGCTTCCCATCTTCCACCTTTCATGTTAATCTCTGGAACCTCGGTCTTCACCCAATTCCCTGGTCTCCCGACCCAGGAACATAATTATTGTAATGGCTGCTATAGAAATATATGAAGTACCTTTCTCTTGGTTACAAGTTACACTGCAAAATTGACAAATTGTGGTTGTAGGAAGGAGCCCAAGGTCTTCTGTATGCTAAGCAAGTACCCAACACTGGGCAGTAGTCCCAGCCCTCAGTGTAGGGCTGGTCTTGGTTTTGTTTCCATTTTTGGAGACAGGATCACTGTGTATTCCAGGCTAACCTGGAACACAATATACAGGTCACATTAGCATCAAATGTATGACTGTCTTCCCCTTTCTCAGCCTGAGAGACCAGTCCTCAAGGATGCAACCAGGGTTGCATAAAAGAATGCCTTCAGAGCAGCAGGGCTTTAAGAACCTTTTTTGTCTGAGGGTCATTGGGAATAAGTTTCTATCTATCTGAGGGAAAAAGACTCACATGCATGATCTGAGGGTCATGTTCTTTTTATTTCCATCTCTTATTCTCCAGTTCTAAATCTCTAGTTCCAATTCTCTCTATCTTCTTTGTTCACATAGCTTATATACACATTCAACAACAAACGTTTTCAATAAAAAAGCTTACAAAGAAGCCGGGCGGTGGTGGCGCACGCCTTTAATCCCAGCACTCGGGAGGCAGAGCCAGGCGGATCTCTGTGAGTTCGAGGCCAGCCTGGTC